ACACTTGTTCATAGGTTTTAAAAATAATTTTTTCATTTGAAATAAACCCTTTTATCATGTTAAAACAGTTATTTTTAGAATTCAATATTATTATATCTATTTTTTGATACTGCCGTTAAGAAGAATAAACCAACTTGATACAATCTATTTATATACACAAGTTTATTATAATTCATTTTGAATTTTTTATCATGCATAGTGAGTCTTTTCAATCAAATTTGGAAATTTTTATTATTAAGTATGTAGTTCATTATGCATTAATTTTTTGGTTCGTAAGTAATTCCACACAACTATATACATTTAATTTTTTATTATATTAAAATGATAGAGAATATGAAAATTTTTCACTCTTAATATAATTTACTCTCGCGAGGCACTTTATAAAGCCTCAATATTTGGGTGCACTAAGCAGATCTGGTACGTCGAATTGCAAACCTCGCTTTAAAATTTTTTTTATTAGATAACAACAATACAAATAACATATTAAGTATAAATGCCAATCCCAATAGGGCAAGATGGTTTTAAACAATGGTAAAGATCGTCTAAGTCACTATCTTGCGATTTACGGAAGAACTATGCATTCGACCAATAAAGTCTTACAAAATTAGAAAATGCGTAGCAACAATTCGAATCTAATGAGTTTATTTGAACTTTAATTGCACAAGAAGTTTTGTATTAAATGGCAAAAAAACACTTTTTGGTGCCATTTTTTCGAAATTCCATAACATTTGTTTCGTTGCAAGTAAAGACTTAAAACTTCGGCAGAATACATGTTTCAAAGGCCTTAATACCAAAAAAAATTTTTAACAAGATTATCTTTATACTTTTTGAGCAACTTTAAAAAAACTAAAGAAAGGTCCTTTTACCTAGTAACTACGAAAAAGTTTTGGGCCAAAGACTAATTTTTTAAACGTGCTTTTGTTAATCGAAAGTTTCTCTACAACATTCTGCAATGCCGTACCATTGTAGCCAGTCAAAGTGTAAAAAAAAGCAGTTCTGAAAAAGGGACCCTTCGTGGTCCAATGGTAACGGCCGCTAAGCTCGAAATGCGGCTATAGGGAGAATTCCACAAAATTTTGACTAATTTTTTTGTTTTATTTCTCTACGTTTTCAAACAAAAACGGCAATCATAATAATGTATTATTACTGTAGCTATTTGTATGCACGTAAAAGATTGGAATAATTTAAACTAAATTTATCATGATAGTATAGTTTTCATTGCCTTATTTGCTTGAAAATGTACAGAGATTAAAGAAAATTTTTATCAAAATTTTGTAGGATTTTCCTATACTCGAATTTTAAACTGGGCAGCCTCTGACCACCAGACTGCGGAAGCTCCTTTTTTTTTAAATCAATTTTTAAAATTTTTTGCTGAGTTTAATGATACAGCATTGCAGAGTATTGTAAAGTTACTCTCTTAAATAGAAGCTTGTTTGAAAAATTGGTCTACGTGGGCCCAAAACTTCTTTACAGATATTTTTTTTGTTAAGTTTCTCAAACAGTATAAAATAGATCTTGTTAAAATATTCTATATGTATGGTGGCCTATGAAACGCAAACGTAAAATTTTATTTACAATGTTATTATTTTACAAAACAGATCTCAAAAGTGCAGTTCACGATTACATGTTTCTTTAGGCCATGAATCATCCAAAATAAAGGTAACCATGAAATAACTTAATGTAATTTATTAGTCCTTCTTGTAATGGCTTGCGAGTCTAAGTAATATTGTAAGCGAAAAATTTGTAGTCTTTAATACTTTTAATAATAAGAATTGAACTTGCAGTAACATAAAACAAAAAATTGTATTAACACGATAACAACTAAAATACAACGAAATCGTTTAATTGAAAATGCTTTTTTTCCAATGTTTTCAAGTACAAATTAAGCTTTTATGTATTTTATTTGTTACTTTATTCTTATTATTACATCTTTATAGTAGTAGACAAAGTTTGCCATGAAAAATACAAGTATTGTTAAATTGTTACGTCAACGCAACGAACTATTTAAGTCTAAGCAGGCACTTAATAACTCGGGACTCACACTCAGCACGTTATTGAGGCGCAGGGATAGAGAATATTCGAACCTACGCGTTATCGTATTCAAAAAGGGGGGGTACGAATGTTTTTAAGTGAGAGAAATTGAGTAGCAAAGACTCAAAGCAGTGATTGTGGTGTATTCTAATGCACTTACTTGAGACATACCAAGGAAATGTGAACATTACCTGGAGTGATGCATTAAAGATCTCCTGTCCGTGATCCAGAAACTTTCAGTACTGTTACGAAGGGTATTGTTCTAGATTTTACATAATTTGAAAATTGTGCTGTAATGGACAACCAGTCTAGAGGCCACCAATACCTTTACGAGTAATGGTGTTTGTTCTTGATCTTACGCTGAGAATAATGGATTATTAATTTTCATTGTTTGGAGAATACCAATACTGTTATGAGTAATGGCGTACATGTTTGACTCTATGCCAACACCAGAAAGAAAAGAAGAAAAACAAAATTAGAAGAATGGCTTAAGTTTTCAGTACTTACTTTCATTTAATTAAAAAAAAAAAAATTGTACACGTAACAAACCAGGGCGAGATGGCGAAAATCGGTATTTTAAACCGTGTATATCAGTTATGTATACTCTAGTATCCTGTATAGTACTATACTGATGTACGAGAATTTTTGTTATTACACTTACAATGTGTGGTACTCTAATTTTTACTTTTATTATTTTATTTATATTATTTGTCAAATTATTTTTATTACTGACAGTAATATAATAGTATTGTTGCTTGAAGTTGCTTTAAGTGTCTGGTGGTGGTCGTGGTTCAGGGGGGCATATTTTTATCCCTGTGAATGTTTTTTTGTACGAAACTTCTCTCGTTTAATTCAACTTTCTTGTTACTCAAAAAGTTATCATTTTTTTTTCTTTGCATTAATTATTTTCTTACTAATAAATCCATTCTGTGCCATCTTCTTGTATAGTATTAAATGATGATATAATAACAGCGATTAAAAAGGGTTAAAAAAAACATAAAGCAACAAAACTTAAGAGACAAGCAGGGATATTAAATTTCGGCTACTTTCCTTATTACAAATAAAGAAGCGGAGTGTTCCCAGGATAAAATTGACCAACAAAAACTTTATTACAAATACATCGCAGGCCAGCCTGAAAACTCAAATACACCTTAATATGGAAAATTTTGAGTCATTGAAGCTAATATGCGCTTTCGGGATAAATATGAAAGATTGATTTTGTCAGAAAGGGATGATAATTTGATGAAGCCCAATGACAATGAAACTAATAAAAGTAGTATGTACCGTGAAAATAATAAATTAGACGACCAAAATACACTCCAACCCCTTGCAGTAAATCGTAGTAAGAACATTTCTAGTGTAAAACAATGATGCTTCAATAAGAAACAAAAAAAACACGAGTAAGTTAACTAAATATGCAAGTAAAACTCAAGCACGTTTAATAGAAATATTTAATTTAATTAATACTAATTTAACTACAGGATACTTAACAAGAGTTGACGTGGGATGTTAGGACGCGTATATTTGAGAAAGAACAGTAAAAAATGAGAAAGGTCAATATAACATAAGCGTGATAAACACTAACGGGAATAATGTTATGATTGAAACAGATCTAAACAGAATTATACCCTTCGAATACATTGCACGTGAATTTGACCCTAATACTAGTAGCTCTTCCCCGCTTCTCGAGTGTGGTCCTTAATTATTAGTTTAATATTTCAATTCAAGTGTTAATAATTTTTGGTAAACTCATTGTAATTCATTGTAAAACTTAATATGAAAAACAAGTATACAAGATACTTTGGAATATTTCATTAACAACAACCAAATAAAATAATAATATTAAACAAAGCGGTACTGAAAAATCATATTAAATGTAAAGAAAAGGTACATTGGCATATATATTTTACAACGCCTAACAAATTTTTTTTTCTCTTTTTAATAAACAAATGAATAGTTAGACAGTCTGCTAGTATCACAACCCGTCTGAAAGTGTGGAACCCAAATCCACAAACATTCAGGTTATACTAGATAATGAAGATGAATAATAACGATAAATCATTTAACAATAACTGTAGCAGAGCGAAATTTTTTAAAAATAACTTATCGTTATTATTTGACTTTATCATACCGTTAAAATAGATGTTTGTGGATTTGGGTTACACACTTCCTGATGGGCTGCAAAACTAGCAGACTGTCCAACTATTCATTCGTCTATTGGAGAAAAAAATAGAGTATTAGGCTGTGTAGAGTATATTTGTGTCAACATACCTTTTCTTTTTGCAGATCAGTTAAAATATGATTCTTTAATACGATTACTTTTGATAATATTAGTTTTATTTGACTTTAACTAATGAAATATCCTGCACTATCTTGAAAACTTGCGTTTTTTCTTTTGTCTTACAATAAATTACTATGAATTTCAAGACAATTACTACAACATACATTTACATATTGAATTAATAATTAAGGACCACACTCAATAAGCGGTGTAAAGCTACTTACTAGAATGTCACATGAACAAAGGTGCTTTGCACAAGGCTTTAGCTAAATCTTTTTTGTCTTACATGCGATGGGGGTGGCTCTTAAAGACTTTACATAAAAAGTTTGATTTTATTTTTTTATTTTACACCTTTGTTGTTCGTCGTTTTTCCCCTGATGTGATATTATTTGCGTTACCTCTTAACGTTGGCTTGCGTGAACGTTTCAAATAAGTGTTATGCTCTGTCCTACAACACAGATCAAGGTGCTAGTAATAATTGACGAGGCTGACATGTATAATACAAATATTGTATTCCATTTTAATTTTAATTTAGATATAACACAATATAGCACGCAATTGTAAATCACACTTGTACCCATGATTTCCACGTAGCATACGTACTGTTTCGCCTTATTCTTGGTTTTGTGTTCATTCATTTGACAATACCAGACTTGATGATTTTAAAATTCGAAATACGCCCTGATACCCGCTTACCTGGCGCAGAAGGTTCCGTTATCAAGAAGGTGGACCTTCCAGGATGAGGCTCTCCCATTGCACTACGGTTGGGTTGACCCCTGCGAAAATTCCTAATGTGGATATCTCGGGTGTATTATTTTTGGTATTTCAAGTCAATACGTGGTAAATTTTATTTATAAATGCTTCCCATCATCTCTTATGACTTAGAGTTTTGTATAACTAATATCACTGAGTAAGCCAAAAGTCATGAGATATTTGATTTACTCCTCAGTCATAATTACGACTGGCACTTTTAATATAAGGCTTGGTGGTACTTTACTAGTCCAGCTGCTTAAAGTGTCCACTACTATTAAAATATTTGTTGTAGTTGTGGTTGTTATCGTTTTGGCGATGGTATAAGGCTCCTTTTGCTAAGTTGTAATGCCATAAGCAACTATCTTTTGCACTGCCTCAACTTTATATTCCATACTATATTCAGTATGAACAGGTACAATGTTTTTTCCATATCCAGGTTTGTTGAAAAAAAAAGTGTTTTGTAAACTGTACGGCTATTCGGAGTACTTAGTTAGGTATTTAGAATTATAAGGTTTTTTCTATTAGGAAAAAAATTTTCTTATTCGTACGTTTAACTTATACAACGTAAAAAATAGGTGCTTTTTAATCTTTATCACGTGCTTTAAAGACGATATTTTAATCTTATCTTGACTGTCATGGTCTAGATGCAGGTGGCTGTCACCTACTTGACGTATGCTTTGTCCTAGTTATATTGCTGAATCTTTCATTCGGAAACGCTTCAGGAGATTCTAATACTGGCATTTTTTCTTTTATGATATCAACCAGTATTAATTAGGCATCTGTTACCAATTATGAAGCTGCATCGGTAGCCACTAATGGTAAGTATATGGCCTCGTAGCATGTGTATGGAGCAACAAAGGGCTGCTCTTGTAATGCTTAAATCGTGCCGTATTAATGTAGCAACTGTCTTAGTTCTAGTTTGTTTATAAGGATATTGTTTAAAGGGTTTAAAGAACGTCCACTGGCCATGGTATCCATTATCTTGGCCGTTTTATGTAATCTGTAAGTGTAAGTATGGTAAGTGTTATAAAAATTATAAATTGATCATTTGTATGTATAAGTACTGTTGTGGTGTATTTCGTGCTGTCATACATACTCGGGGTTCTGCGTTTAGTAGATTGATGGTGCGTTTTATAAATTTTTTTGAGACACCATGTTCCATAGTATTTTTGAAACAGCTTCTAGCTTTGCTGATAAGTACTATTGTAATGATAATAGCGATAACAGCTTTCATGACGTTACGTATTAAAATAACAATAGAAGTTTATTTTTACTCTAAATTTCTGGTTTGTACTTACTCCATTCAATTGATTAAAGTTTGTACTTTAATTCCTAATCTGTCCATAATTGTTCATTAAATTTTAGTTCTTAAATCGATTCTATAGTGTCTTGGCAGACATAAGTGTACTTTAGAGGTTCATGTTATATATTTAATGTTAAGTTCACTTCTACTTAATATGTACATTGTATCTGACTGATGATCCTATGTTAAATTGGTGAGGTTAGTTTGTGTGTTTTTCACATACACCCATTATTTATTCATAAAAGACCTATTACCTTTTATTCTTTCTTGTTAATCCATTTTGTTAGGGCAACTAATACACAATTGTTATTCTTAAGATGTTAAGAATAACCATGAATTATCAGCTGATAAGGTAATCCGTTGGCTTTCTGTCTTCGGTGTAAATATAATTTCAAAGTATTCAACTACGTTTGTTCCAGGTCGTAATAGCAATAGAATTTCACATTTTTCGTAAAACAGAGCTCTTTGAATAGTTTTATAGCTGAGCATGTATAACTATATTCTGTTTGATTACATATGTTTCATTGAACTTCGTTTAGTTGTCAATACGAATCATAATTTGCTGTGACTGCTAGTAAGGGTACAGGTTAAGGGACTATGACTGGACGTAATCTTTAAAGATTATAGTCTATAGGATGCTTAATCTACGAGTAACAAATGTTATGTTTCCATGATGCACAACATCTTATTTGCTTGGAATGCTTAGTTCGCCCGCATTAAGATTGTTGATTGGTGCTACAAACTCTTAATTTTCCGCCTTCTTCCAATCCTGGGCTACGGGTTTAAATTAATTTAGAGAAAAAATCTTTGGATGTAATTGACCTCTTTGTAAATTATGCAAGATGTCAATTAGAGTTCCATGGGAACGAGTAATAGAATTTAGTGTTGCCTTAGTTTTTCTGAGGTAAGTTGATAAATACATCAGATATCTGTCGCAAGTAAATTCTTGTCCTGGAGTCAATATGTGAGCAACATGTTTCAAAATATGCTCTTGGTGCTTTGTAGTGTTGTATAGTTCTGTCAATCCAGCTGCAAAAATATGGCTGTTTTGTTCGTACCATTTAACATATTCCTTTTGATCGGTGTGCCAATTGTTGACGTTAGTGTTTATAACGTTGATTATTGTCTTCTGTGGCTAAGCCAAGAAGTCCAGCAGCAATACTTTCAATAGTTCCCAAAAAGGATCAGTCTGTTTGATCGTAAGCTAGGAGGTTGAACAATGTTATCTTCTGCATAGGTTCCCACAGTGCTAAATATGTTAAATAGCGTGGCTGTACGATTTTTAATCTCATACCACACAGTAAGTACAGTGAGGATAACCAATATGTTTAATTTAACATCAAAAAGATTTATTTGATTCTTAAGTAGGTGTGTGTTTCAGTATAAATCTATTGATAACTATCTTACAGTCAGCTCTATTGATTTCTGTAATACTGATTCGTTTATAGAATATACCAAGGTTCGTTTTTAGTCGTTCTGTGTTGTAGTGGCCATGATAAGAATGGCTCAAATATGTGCAACCTTCAAACTCTATTGTCTTTGAAAGGGCCAATATCATATAAGGATAGACAGTTGTGGAACTATTCGTAAGGCTCAAAAAATCTTATTGAGTGACTTAAAAAACTACAAATTGTCACAAGAGATCAACGAATGAAAATAAAAAAACAAGCAAAAACAAAATACGATGAAAAAGTAAAGAATCTCAATTTTTAACCAGAACATGACCTTTGAGTGAAGAAAAAAGTACGTTTCTATAAATAAGATCGCTACTATAGTGAAACCTTAGAAAAAAACAGTTTCAGAGAAAACTAATGTATTATATAAGGAAAATGATGTTCAAATTATAGGACAACACACAGATAAAAAAACTGGTTCCCCAATGATAAAATCCTTGTAAAAATCATGTTCAACATATTTTCCAGAGAAAAAAAACATCGATGCGGATTTGATTGGCCATCCTAATGACAATAGTGAACTTACCTGTACTATATCAATCCTCAACAGACACAAACGTCCTCCATGATGCTATAAAATCAATTTGAAAACTAAACTTTAATGAACAAGCATGCAAACGCAAAAAATTAAACGTACAAAATAAAATTAATTACATTAAGAAAATGTAAACCTAAGAGTTAGACAAAAGGAGATCTTTCTCTATTTCAATGCACAACGTCAGTTAAGCTTTTACTACTTTAATTATAATAGCAATTCTCATCGACAAAGCGAAAAGATGTTTTAAAAGACTATGAAACGTGGTGTCTCAGGAAAATTTATAAAATGCACCTATAATCCACTTTGTGCAGAACACCAAGCAACCATAAAATAAAAACCAAAAGATTACGAAAAAACTGAGCTGTATATCAAAATTAAAAAAAAACAAAAAAAAAAAAAAATAAATCATTCAAAACTAGACCTATAAGAAAGACAGAGAGCTTAATACTTCCATGCCATACACTCCAAAAATTGTAAATGGACTCAGAAATTAATAGTCAACCAATACTTTTTTTTTCCAGGCTGCACGATAAACCCTGGCTATAGAATATTAATAAAACTGAAGGCCAACTTCTAATATTCTTAACATAAATTTATCGAGCATTAAAAAAATATAGGAAGCATTAAGAAAATTTACATACTTGCGGATTAACAAAGTTACACACATCAAACAATAACCAAAATTCACACAAAAAATTCAATTAATACTAATGAAACACTAAAAATAGGAGAGAAAGTTCAGACATCTTTTACTTTTGAGGTAAAGTCCACTTTTTTTTCACCACAAAGCCAACAGGATTTTTCAACCAACATTAAAAGGGAAAAAGATTTCTTTTACCATTTTTCTCAAATTAGTACCCTAGAATATGGTTAAGTATATAAGTTAAGTATATGAAAATGGGCGGGGAAGATTATCCAAAGAATATTTTAAATACATGGATCATGAAAGTGCTATTCTAGTGTTGCAGAACGAGGAATTTAAGTATCACACAAGTTATGCTTAGTCAACTAAAGGGAGCACGAAACACAAAATGAACAAAAAATTGACTAATCCTTCATGTTAACAAGAAGTTGAGTTAATGACATATCAAAGACATTTAATGACATGTAAACGACAACATTGTATACAAATTTCAGAAACAATGCCAACCGTTGCTACATCATTGTTCCAAACTTTTTTCTATCCTTTTAAGATTGGATACGAAAAGCCAATCGCAGAGCAAATAAGAATATAACCTTAGAACATTAGAAAATATTTTATTGCTCTGGATTTCAAGAAAAATAGTTCTGGGTTGTACCACGATTGATGTCAAATATTAATTAAAACTATCGAAATTTGTCCGTTATTTCTGTAGTTTATAATAATACTTTTAATAGGGCAAGTCTCACAACGCTTTGATTTTATTTTAAGAAGTTTTTAGTCTGTTAATANAAAAATTGTTTCCAAATATATTTGAACCCGCGACCTCCTGCAATATAGCCGACTACCTCGCTACCCCTCTACCTCCCCCTGCAACGAAGAATGCACAGCTGTTTTCAAATTAAAAATGAAATGCCATGTAGAGAGTAAGACCCCAGGGGTCAAGTGTCGCTTTCTAAATTTAATTAAGGAACGACTTTTGAGTTTTTAAAACAAGATATTATAAAACGAAAGAAGCTTGTTGCAGGAAAAAACCTTTCGGCAAAAAACCTGATTTATTATGTCAAAGGGTTGTATATTAGTCAATTATGGATGAGAATAACAAAATATATTCAAGTAAATTAATATTTGTGTAAGCTTGTGGTGTTTAAAATAATAATTGT